AGCGGACGGACTAAAAAAAAAAGTGAGAATAAATTTGACGGAATAAGAGAATATATATTTTTAATGGACAGAAAAAACTAAACAAATATAAATGTAATGGACGTAGGGGTATTAAATATTCACCTTTTATTATCCACAAAGAATTTTGGGTAAAAAATCGCATAGCAATAACCTGTGTTATCATAAATTTGCATAAAATCCACTATGATAGATAAACAAAAAAAAATTCTGTAGTATAGATTATACGCCTACACTCCTTCAATACTAATAGAGTTAAAAACATATTAGAAATGACCATTTTACCCCTGGATAATTTAATTTTTTATTTTTATATTTTAATTGCATTAACTCTAAAATTAAAAACGACTCCCACACACTCTTACTTGATCGATTAGGGCTTAGGAATGATCGATTTCTTTCATTCCTTCAATTTCTTTTTCGTTCATCACGAAGGTAGCAATTTCGGGACATTCTCGGAGTCCTCTAGCGACGGCATTCATTCTTGTTTAACGACAAGTTATTCATCGGCGGGTAAGAACCGATTCACACCCTCAAGCTTCTTTTCGGCGATTTGTTGTTCATCAGGACTGAAGGTTCTCGTTTATATTTTTATTTGGGAACTTGTATTAAATGATTTCAATATAATAACTTTTTAGGCACTGTATTGGTATGAAGTGTTGAAATTTCAATTATCTCTTGTTACAACATGATTTGTTGTTCGGGACCCATGAGTTCTTCTTGGGTTATGCATTGACAGTTTAAAATTGACATTTGTGTGGTTTAGTAGGCCATGTGGGTTATGGTTGTTATGTGTTATCCTTTGTCGGTGTTGCATTGAATGTTGTTTTGTCTTTATTTATAGATGTAGTGTTTAGCTATTATTTTACTGACTTTTTTGTTTTTAAAATGGTTGTGGGTCATGCAGGTATTAGATGACAGATTTCATGGATGTCGATTTATGGGTGGATGGCTATTTAATTTGGTGTCAATTTGGTAAATACATGGAATGCATAAAGGTTAAGTTCGAAAATATTGATAAGGATACATTTAATTATTGGACATTAGTTGATCTGCATGTGAAAACTAGTGTGGTGGGAAGTAATTTAGAGTATTATTATTTCCTGCTGGGTAAAACTTTGAAAAGTAGCGTGTTGTAAATTAGAAGTGTTGCAAATATTCTTAACCTTTTGATGGCATATAAGAATGGATTAGTGATACAAATATTTGCAGATGAGTTAAAGTTTATGAGTTTGGACAATGTTGGCAGAGAAATTAGTAAGTCCAATGAGGTTTTATTTCTCCCGTGGAAGGACACATGAGGGTAATGATGCAGGAGAGGGTAATTAGAGAGAGATGAGATGCATCATTCCAATGAAGAGACACATCATGTGAAAAATGACGAGGTCAGAGATGCTGTGTGGGAGAATTTGGAACGTGTAACAATATTTGGTAACTATAGGGATAATAGAAAGGATTCCGATGACAAGATGGTTGATGGAGTACTAGAGAGTGATGTCTTTCACAGTGATGAGGGGATTGTGGAGGGAGTTGAGGCTTGTGGAGGCGATGAACAAAAGGTTTTTGATGATATTGCTTCACCAGAAAGTGATGTAGGAAATGATGGTGGTGTTGAGGGGGTGGGTGTTGTGTTAAGTAGTGGGGGTGCATCTTATACTGATAGTGAAAAATCAAGTGTTGAATGTGGTGGTTCTGACTCGGATGATCCATCTTGGATGTACGATGGGTTTGATGGTCTATCGGATGATGATATTTTTATTGAAAAACCAGACAATGAGCGGGGGTGAATGAAAGAATTGTTGAAGAAGTTGCGATCATTAAGGAATGAGAAAAGAAAAATGGACGGGACAATGTGAATAATAATGGTGTAGGAATATAATATAAGAATGCAAAATGGTACAATACTGTTGATTCAGAAGAAAAGAAGGATCTGGATGCACATTTGGTGTCTGATAAAGAAACAAAAGGGCCTCGTTATACCAAATGGGATAAAAACATGAATATGGGTACAAAATATCTCGAGGTGAGCATGAAATTTTCAAATAGAAAAAAAATTCAAGAAAGCTTTAAAGGATTGAATTGTTAGAAAATTGTGGGAATAAGGATGTCAAATGGGCGGCTTAGCCCCGGACCCGCTCTTAGTAGGGCGGATTCAGATCTAAAAAATATGGTTCGGGGCATGTGGATTTTAAGTTTTAAGTCCACCCGGGTTCGGGGCGGGTTACGAGTTTTAGTTAAAACCCATCCCACCCCCTACTTGAATCCAAACCCAGATATTTTAATAATTATTAGAATTAATATATATTTATATAATATAAACATATTTATTTTAAAAAAAATTAAATATAAACTAGAACTCTAATTTTTGAATCAAATTTGTCTTCGCGTTTATTTTTTCCTCAATTATCTTCATAATCAAGACTACCGTTGTCGCCTCGCTTGCCGCCTTCTACCGACGGCCATCACTGCAGACCACTACTAACATTTAATTGTATTTTTTGAACTAAAATTTTGCCTCGTCTGCCCCCGACCGCCATAATTGCGAACCACCGCCAACATTTTATTGTTCTTGTTTTTAAAACTAAAATATTTTAGTACTTACTATTTTAGTATTAAATTATTAAAATAAATTATATTCGGGTTTGGGGCTGGGCGAGTCATGGGGCCTAATATTTTATAACGGGGAGAGTCCTGGGGCCTGCACAATCCGTCTCGAGCCTGCCATGTTAACATCCCTAGGTGGGACTTGAAGTATCCCAAGAAAGAAAAACATGTTGTGGCTGCTACTTGCAAAAAAAAAATGTGAATAGTTTATACGAGTTTCCTCAATCATGCGAGAGACCACATTTCAGATAAAAACACTCAATGGCAGGCACACATGTGCACACATGACGATGAACTCACAAGCTGACTTTCGTTAAGTAATTTAAATATATTTTATAGTAATTATTTGTTAGTCATGCATGCATATGGTTCTGTCATAGTTCTAGTTTACTGCATAATATTACAATTTTAAATTATTTTGACTATATGTTATACCAGGGATGTTAGTGTTATAATTTTATATTATATGCAAAGATTGAAAGATTTAGCACATGTTTTATTTTGTGAAGTTTTGTTCCATCAAGTAGGCATGTTGTTTTGTTTAATTTCCTTTTCTTCATGTATATATTGTTTTGTTTTTTTTTTTTTTTTTTTTTGTATTATATGCTTGTTGTTTTGTTTAATTTGGTTAATTTTTTATAAAGAGAAAGAGGTTTTAAAAAGTAAGGTAAATCAATATGCTAAAAGTGAGTTCATCCTTAATTGGGGATTTTTTTTATAATTAATTAATTATTTGTTAGTCATGCATGCATATAATTCATGCTTCTTCCAGGGGTTCCATTTTTTGCTCCCTAATGTCAATTTTATTTGTCTACATTATTATTTGGACTTTGCACATAATGAAATTTTCAACTGGAGGCAAATCAGAAATGTTGATCTCCAAGAAATTGTATTTAAATTAGCTTTGAAAAAGATTGTTCTTGGCACTTGGAAATTTCACTTATTGTATCAAAATGATTATTGAAATTTCCAAACTAGTTTTATTTGAATTTTTTTTTTAAATTTTTCCGTAAGTCATCGAACCAGATCATAATCCCCAGACAGAGATATTTAACCAGCTCATGTACTTGTTGTTTTGTTTAATTTTTTTAATTTTTATTTCATCAAGTACCTAGGAAAAAGGATTAAGAATTATTTGAAAGATAATCCGGGAGAGTCTTTAGAGTCTTTGCGAAGAAAAATAAGAAGATATGTTGAAGTTGATGTAAGCACACACAAGGTGTACCGAGCAAAGAAACATGCTATAGAGTTTGTTAAATGGCGATATCAAAGAGCAGTATAACATGCTGCATGACTACTGCGAGACAGTCTGCAAACACAATCCTGGAAGTTCGGTTATTTTGAAAGTTGATTAAGAACTAACTCCGCCCGTACTTCAAATGATGTACTTGTGTTTGAAACCACTATCATATGGATTTTAGGTGGGATGTAGGCCAATTATTAAACTTGATGGTTATTTTTTTGAAGGGATTGTACAAGGGTCAACTCCTGACAGGGACCGAGATGGATGGGAATAACAATATTTACCCAATTGCTATGGCTTTTGTGGAGGTCGAAAAATTTGATAGCTAGGATTAGTGTTTAAAATTGTTGTTTAGAGACATTAGAGATGCACGAGATGACCGGTGATCTTTCCGTTCCGATAGAAAAAAAAGTTTGATTGAGGCTGTTCTTAAGCATGCACTGAATGCCGAGCACCGGTTTTGTTTGCGTCATATGTACAATAACTTTAAAACAAAGTTTAAGGGTTTTAAAACGGTTGTTCTGGAAGGACGCCTTGACCTACAACATGAATGAACACAAGCGTACAATAGAGAAAATCCTTAATTATGATATGAATGTCAATGAATCGAAAAATTTCTTTGAGTGGTTGATGGATATACCCAAGCATCAATGGGCGAGGGCCTACTTTCCACGAGGACTAAGTACAATGCATTGGTTAATAACATGAGCGAGTCTTTTAACTATTATATTTTGCCTGCTGAAGAGTTTTCAATAACCGAGATGTTTGAATGGATAATAAGGAAATGCATGACACAAATTCAGGTTAAAAAAAGATGGAATTGAAAAGTTTGAGAGTCGTATGTGCCCGAATAATTTGAAGAAAATTGAGGCTCAAAGGAAAAAAACAAAAATTGTTTCCCGGTTGGGCTGGTGACGACAAGTTTGAGATAATGCATTGGTAGGTTAATCATGTAGTTAATTTGAATACCAAGAGCTGCACATGTGGTATGTTTCAGATGGTTGGATACCCTTGTTTTCATGCAATTGTAGCTCTGGATACGCATAGGCAAGATCCATTGTAGTTTGTATATGCGTACTTCAGCAAGCAATTGTACAGTAATCTATACAACCACATGATCACTCATGTACCATGTATGCATGACTTTAAGAAGTCCCTGATTGGCATTGTCGACCCCCCTATTGTCAAAAAAAGAGTTGGAAGGCCCAAAAAAGTGCGTAGGACTGATGCAAATGATACAAAAGATTCAAGTAAAACTTCAAGAAAAGACTTAACCTATGCGTGTGCGATATGCCTTCAACAAGGGCATAATAAAAGAAGCTGTAAGAATACACCGCACCCAAATTCAAGATTTTCTAAGGTAATAAATAATTTTGTATTTGTTGTATACATTTATGTAATTTCAATACTAATTGTTCTTCTATGTAGACACAACATGAAATTTCCACCGATGTTGGGGCCAATACTCATACTCAAAGCAGCACAGTAGTCGATGAAGCTGTTGGACAGGTGAGGGTCATGTACTACACTTAAACTAGGTAGTTTTCATATGAGCTAATTCATCAATTAATGCTTTTGGGGCCAAAATGAGTCTCGTAGAACTCGAATTTCTTTATCTCATCGTCGAAATGTGAATGATGAGGTATGAAATAAATATTTTACTACTATGCATTGCATAAAGTTCAGTAAAATTTAGGGTGGTCGGCCAAAAAGACGTATCGGTTTGCAGCATATGAATAATCCCTCACGGACTACTAACTAGGTGTTGAATTATATTGCATTGAAATTATTTAAATCATGTATATTGTTACAATGCAATAAAACATATTGTTTGTAGGTGGAGAGTCAAAATAGTATATACCCGATATTCCCAAACTAGGATGCTAAAGTTGTAGCTGATGTACATACCAACATTGCAGAAAATGTTGTGCAGATGCTTTGTTGGTTTGCAACAATTTCAGTTGGTTTTTTTTTTATCTCTTTTTCTACTTTTAATTTGTCTCACGTAATTGAGATTTCTAGGAGAAGCCGTCAAAGCAGCCATGGAAGTTAAATACCTCAAAATCAACTGCTCAAAGGCGGGGAATAGGTATTCTTCCCCAAACTTCCCAACTTCCAATGGGTCTACCACGTCTGCATGCTTCTAATCAGCCTCCCGAATCATCATTTGCTTCAAGGTTATGAGCCTTGTGGTTCTCTTACACGCGGAGACATCCTAGGGCACCACATAATTCTAGTACTGATCCAAAAGGTGTGGTAGGACCTCAAAGGGAATGATATCTGTCGTTTTGTTAAGGAGCTGAATGTGTTTAGTTCAATTATATATATGACTTCGTTGGATTGGTCGGGTCGTTGGATTGGGCATATGTGATAGAAGGGAAGATCCCTTTGGTGCTAACGAGGAAGTGGGCAATCAATTTCTTCAAGGAGAATCTGATACCTATTAGATATGCTAAGTAAACAATATAAATACATAACATCACCACACATTTAAACAACATGAATACATAATTCAACAACGCGAAAATTAATTACAACATATCGTCACCGAAGAACGTCTACTTAGTCATAATTGCAACAACAATACAACACAAAAATACAATATGAGCGTCTACTTAGCCATATCCATAATGGCAACAACAATTTTCTCTATTTCAAGCATCACTGTGGTATAGTGCGTTTCATTGACATTTGAATCGGGTTTCGAAATTTCTCATCTTCTTCATTAAAGCTACTGACCCCAAATTTTGAGCGATCATTTTCTTGTGAATTCAAAGGCTCTAACTGGCAAAAAAAATCACATTGTCTATTTCTGCAACTCCAAAACAACATACATTCGGTGTCTTTCGTAGGGCCAACAACTCGAATGGCAACATATTTTCCATATTTACATATTGGATTTTTGTATCGCAAATCCAATAATTCTGCTCTCAAACTCTTCTTACTATTTGATAAAGCCGTCGACATTATCACCACCTATTCTTCGCAAGCAAGGTCAATCAGTTAATTAAAAAAAAAAGATTAACATTTACAAGAAACTTAACTAAATCCAAACATAAATATGTTGAACACCAAACCAAACGAGCAAACTACTGTTGTTGTATCGACTAATATTGTGAAAACAACAAATAAAAATTCCTACACATCAACACTCAACCAAACCAACAATTCCACTGTCGTTGTATCAACTAATACTGTGAAACCCAAATTCAATACAAAATAACATAATTTTTAACCTAAAAACATCCGGCTACATTATCCGCTTATTGTGAAAAATGATTACTCAATACAAAATAACATTGATAATTTAACCATACACAACATTCTTACCACCCTTACAGAAAACAAAAAGTTGAACACTTTAAAAATCGATTAAACATTTCTTCCCACCCACACGAAAATTCATTCATCATTTCATCATAAAAACCCCAATAAAAACTTTGGAAATTGATTACCCAAACCTTTACCAGAAAAAGCTTGCAACAGAAAATTCTTATTAGGATGGATGAGGAATTGCTTGAATCGGTCGTAGATCCACAAATTTCTCTCAATTTGCGTCTCTCTTCGTCTAGGTTGAGAAAGTGAGAAGTTGAAGATTCTTTCAAATTTATTCCACACCAAGGGCATAAAAGTATTTACAGACACTAATTAGGAGTTTTCTTGAATTATAAACAAACAAACAACACGTATAATCAACGCTCCGTTAATTTCAAACGGAATGAAAAAATAGTGCATATTACATGAGGGTGAATCGCGCAATAAACTAAACAGATCATACTTCATGCAAATATCCTGTAACACAAAAAAATATGTATTGAAATTTATCCAATAATTTTACAATATTTATATAAACATGACTTTATTTTTCATCTTGTTATTTAACCAATGATTAAAGAGACAAAGAAAAAATAATAAAAATAACTATTCAAAAACACGTTTTTAAACTTTGTAAAACTTGGTAAGAGCACACACATTAGTGACCTTCTTCTGGCCTTCTCTTCATTTTAGACGCCTATTTCCGAAGCCATCGAAAAGTCATCTTCTCTAGGCCATATTTTTGCCGCACTGTCGATGTTGCCTCGTAAATCTTTCTCTCTTCACCTCGCTCTTCTTCTCTTCTTCCCCAACCCAACCCCGTCGCCGACGCTCTCCTCCCTATTTTTTCTCTTTTCACTGCAACCACCGGCCTGCCTATGCTGAAATCTTCACCAGCCTCCATTGATGTGAGTTTTCTTTCCGGCGGAAGTTCTGACATCGGTCTCTATTGGTAAATTTTTAGCATTTTTTTCAAAATTGAGGAGCATTAAAGAAATTGAGAGAAGAGATCGAGACAAAAATTGGAAGAAGAAATTGAGTTGAGTTGAAAAGATTAGGGAAGAAATTGGGAAAGATTCGCAATCGCCGTCACTATGGATTTGCTCGCAATTTGGGAGACAATTTCTCTTTTGTGCGATATAATGCCATTGTACAAAAAAAATTCCTATCCATCAAAATTGCATTTCCCTTCCTGGACAAGTAGGTATTACGAAGCATGTTTTTTTGTTATTTATTTATTTATTTATTTGTCTCGTTTGGACATTGCAATTGCTCTAACCACATGACCAAAAAGATTCTAGAAAAAATGCACATACATACATTGTGCCATCAAATATATATACATAGAGCAATTACTTAGCTAAATTTTATAATTCATCATAATGGCAACAAATAATATGACATGAGAATAGTTACTATCTTTCTTCCATGTTAATACAACAGTTTGGTTTCAAATAATATAATTGTTTGTATTGACAATAAATAAAAAGAGAGAGAGAACAGTCGAATCGTACTTTATATACGGCGATCAATATCAATTTGGAGTAATAGTAAAAGGTCAACCAGGCGAGTAATATATCACATTTAAAAGAACAAGTTTCAGTATTTTAATTCCAAGAAGATACCACGCTCAAGAATGCAAAAGAAAACTAGATATTTTGGAGAGAGAGAGAGAGAGAAGAAAATCACCATACTTTCAAGGTTTGTATCATAAAAAGATAATATAGGAACAGCAACGTGCTCAGTTGCTGCGGCTCGCCTGCCTACCCTACCCTTGTGCCGGGCGATATTCTTTGTAGATGTCTGCTACAGCACCAGCAGTGTCGAGGAGGTCATTTCGCATCCTGGCAATTTTCGATCCCATGTACTCTTTGTGGGATGAAACCGAATTTATGAGGTCGAAGAGCTCCTGAGCACAGAGCCGGACTTGTTCTTCTGTTTGCGTCGTTTTTACCTGCAGCTCCGCCTTGGAAGTCTTTGCCGAGCCACGGCAAAGAACAAACAGGTGAAGCTTCCTTCAATGAATATTGATTGTTCGAATGTCTAAATGTTAAATAATATATTCCGAGATAAGGAGGTGCTACCTTCAAGAAATCTGCTGCTTCTTTTTCGACAAGAGACATTTTCTGAGCCTCAGACTCGACTTCCTTGGCTAGTCTTCGCGCTTCAGCTGCACATCTTGATGCATATTCATGCATTTCACTCCTCAGTGCATTCAGCTGCGCTTCAGCCTAAATCAAGAGCGTAATGGATAATATTTCGATCACAATTTGTGCAATCTCGTGCAGAGCTTTTTGCAGATAATGAAAGCATTTTAAGTTTACGAGAAATGAACAATAGGCATGAAAGTAAAGATATTCCTGGCACGTTCAAAAGCAGAGGAAGAAGATGCATAGTAAGCTGCATTAGTATTCTTACCTCATCGATCTGGGACTGAAGGATTTTAATACGATTGATCTTCTCATCCAATTTAATGGCATTGTCACCTGACTGTTGCCGGAGAGAGATTAACTCTTCATATTTAGTCATTGAGCCTCGTTTTATTTCATCAGTGAATGAAGCAAGTGCAGGCTTCAGGACAGATTTATAATCGGAACCCAAAACTTCAGCTGGTGTGGATCCATTGGCATTCAACTGATATTGAAATCCGTTTCCAATCTTTAACCTACAAAGCGATAATGCATCTTCTCAATCCAAAAAGGAACGATGAAATTCCTTAAGAAAAACATGGAAACAGGGGGTAGTGATAGTTCTAAATACAACAATTAGGAACATAAAAAAAGCCATAAATCAGGTTACACTTGCAACACTCCTTATCCTTATTAGTCTAAACAAGAAATCAAGATGTTCACAAGGACCATAGTGTAATAAGCTAGCATATAGTCTGCTTTTATCCGATTTTTCAAGGAAATACAAAGAAGCCCTCTTCTGGGCAGACACAACTAACACTGGTACAACAACCCGTGTCGCAAAAAGTAGGTGTAAGGACAAAACAAATGAGAATAAATTCAGACATTGTGTCAAGAAGTGAGATGCCAAGCACAGCAGAAAACAAGATTTGTAGACCAACTAAACTCATTCAGATAGCAGAACAGCATTACTAGTGTATTTTATAAGCATTTCCGAACATCAGGATATACCCAAGTCAGGTCACAACATCTAAAACTTGACAACAGCAGCACATTATATGGATTGGATTAAGGTGTCTATTAGGCACCAATAGAAGATAGATGTACAGACCAGACAATGAATATATTACAGATACTCCTAACCCTCCAATACATCAGTACTTCATCAAATATAGATGAAATTTTCATTGATCAGCAGCTATTATCAATCACCCATTATAATAATTCAATTATTCCAAATTAAAAAAGGACAAACTTTTACTTGCCAAACATATTCAAATAATCATCACAATAATGCAAAAGAAAGAGGAAATGGTTGGTTGACTTAAATTAGTGATAATTGATCAATAACAAGTAAATGGATAGTAAATGAACCTTCTAAGAGCTTGATTGCACTCCATAGCAAGCCGCTCAAACTCCTTGAGCTTATGCGCAATCTCGGAATCAAGTTCCCATATCTTCTCCTCCCACCCGTTTCTTGCAGCCTCCGTCTCCTCAATATCCCTCTCCACAGCCTGCATTTCCCTCTTCATTCTCTCTGCATCTCTCGAATTAATCCCCTGTTCGACAATCTTCTTCTTCAAATCCTCATTCTCCTCACATATTCTCTTCCTATCCTCCACCTTCGCCTCCAATGACTTATCCTTCTCCTCCAATTTCTTCTTCACCTCCAAAAGATGCCCATTCAATTGCTCGATCATGACATGGAATTTCGACACGTCCTTCTCCAACACTGCCTTTTCCTGCTCCAGACGTTCCTTTTGACTTGTGGCACCCTTCAAACCCTCCGATTTGACCTCCAATTCATTGGCATTTCCTTCCACGGCTATAACATGTTCATTCAGTTTATCCGCCCACTCCCTCATCTCTCCAACACATTCTTCATCCAACGCAACCACAGCTTCATCATCTCCATTTATGTAATTCAAATAACTATTTAACGTGTACATAAATTGCTTGTCGTTTTCAAAGCTAGACGACGAAGAATTCAGTTTAAAATCGTTATACTTAATTATCTGGACAAGCCAGTGAATTACCGCGAGTAGATTCGGCCAGGAATGCGGCGTTCCGGGAGCACGCAGGGCTGATTTGATGTTCAACTTTAGGGGACATTTGAGGAACTTCAATACGTTGCTGAGATCTTGATCAATTTTGTTGGATTCAAACCCTAGGCGGTGGAGCAGAAGCTTTAGGGTTTCGGTAATGTCCTTGGCGGAAGGTAGAGGATGTTTCAGCGCAAAGGGCACAGACTGAGAGGCGAGGTATGCGTTGATGGCCCGGAGAGCGGACGTCTGGTAGGATCGGTCGGAAATGTTGGGCATCGGGGCGGCGCCGATGGAGGGACGACTGCTGCAGAAGCTTGCGTCTGAATCGCGGCCGGGGACGGGAGTGGAGAGATGCTGCCATGGATCGGCAGTAGCAGTAGTAGTGGGAGTATTTGGAGGATGACGGCGATCCGGAGCTAAAGACTCCGTCGGACGACGGCGGCCGGCGCCTCTCATCGTCAGTCAGAGAGAGTGTTTTGGGATTCCCGCCCACGTATTCATTCGATTTTGAATCATCAGACAGATGGAAACGCGCCCTCTCTAAATGGTTTCAAATCTTCTGTTCGTGTGTGACCTCTTTTCGTTCAATCCAATAAAGTTACCTATAATAATACTTTCTATTTAATTAATTTATTAAAATCAATTTTTACTCAATCTATTCATTTAAATGACTATTATACCCTAAAAAAATCGTTATAAATGTCTATTTATTTTTTTTTCTTTTTTATTTGTGAGACCTATCAAATTGTTATCTCTGACCATCTCTTGTTATCATCAAATATTTTCATTGTTGTCTCGCTGTTTTTTTTTGTTTGCTACCTCTTCTTCCTCATGCATCATTTTTATTCTCACTTAAAATTTCTATGTTTAGTTAATTTTTATTTCTTCTAATCAAATCAGACAAATTAAAAAATTTTGTAGTGAAAAATAAAAAATATCAAATTAATTACAATTTGAATTTCTATTACAAAAAATTATTGTTTTTATAGTGATTTATATGATTGTCCTGTTGTTTAGAATTCTTATCTTTTTTTAAAAAAAAAAATTGATATTAGACTAATAATTTTATTTTTTTTATAGGATTCTATGTATAATTGTATCAGATATTAGAAACAAATTTATCTGATACAAATGAAGAAAAAAATCAAGTATTTTATTTTTTTAATATTTATATTCATTGTATTTTTTATTTTGACTGAACTGCTTTACAATTTTTTAAAATTAAATTTAATATTTGTTGTAAGAAATTCATGTTATCAACAAAGAAAATGATGATCTCATTATTATCGGTGGTTCAGGTTCTGATAATTTTAATTCTCATGATTTGCATAAATTCATCTCAAAAGAACAGATTCCTCAAAAGAGGTATGAAATTTGATAATAAAAATTTGACTGGAGAATTTTATTATGCATATGCTAAACAGGTTGGATTTGGTGTTAGAAATAGCATATTTCATAAAAAAGAATGGTAAACTAGTTGATAGAATATTTTGTTGTTGTGCTCAAGGTAAACGAAAACTTGATAAGCAAGATGTTTATGTTAAAAATTCCCGTGCCGAAACTAGATTTGGGTGTTTGGCAAAATTGAAAATACATTTGAATAAAAATGAAAAATATGAGATTGTGAAATTTATTTCAAATCATAATCATAATTTATCTAGTGAAGATGAAACTTACTTATTTAGATCATACAGAAAAATAACTGAAACTCAAGCTAATGAAATTAAAATAGCAGATAGTGTAGGTATTCCACCTAAAGCATCTCATGATTATACGATGAAACAAGCATGTGATCGCGATAATTTATGATTTACTTCACAAGATTATAGAAATTATTTGCGTTCAAAAAGAACTAAGGATATGAAAATTGGAGATAGGGGGGAGTACTTGAATATTTAGAAGAGATGTATGTAAAAGATCCAAAAAAATTTTCACTCAATTCAAGTTGATGAGGATGATGCAATAACTAATATATTTTGGACAGATAGAAGAATGAAAGCTGATTATGTTGTATTTGGAGATGTTATATCTTTGATACAATTTATGGAAAGAATTCTCAAAATCGTCCTCTTGCATTGTTTGTTGGTGTGAATCACCTCAAACAAACTGTTATTTTTGGTTGCGTACTTTTATATGATGAAACTACTGCAACATTTGAATGGTTATTTGATTTATTTTCTTGTAGCATGTCAGGTAAAAAACCAAAAACTATTTTGACTGCAGCAATGGCCAAAGCCTTATCTTCTAAATGGCCAGAGACACACCACAGGTTATGTATTTGACATATATATATATATATCAAAATGCTGCTAAACATTTAGGTGAAATTTTTGATAAATTCAAAGATTTTGCACATAATTTTAGTAAGTGTGTGTATGATTTTGAAGAAAAAAATAATTTTTTAACTGAATGGAATAACATACTTGAAAAATATAATCTTCAAAATAGTGATTGGTTAAAAAGATTATTCAATAAAAAAGAAAATTGGACATTGGTTTATGGTCGTCAATATTTTTGTGCTGACATCACTACGACACAAAGAAGCGAAAGTATGAATAGTGTGGTTAAAAGGTACGTCAATTACAAAAATAGCTTACGTCAATTCTTTGAATATTTTCAAAATTTGCTTGATAATCGTCATTATGAGGAGTTGAAATCTGATTTTAGAGCAAATATAAATACTCCTGCATTATCTTTTCCTACTCAATTGTTATAATATGCCGCAGATATCTATACTCTTGAAGTATTTAAATTATTTCAAAAAAAAATTGTGCAAAGCTTATGATTGTAGTTTTAATATTTCTAGTGTAATTGAAGGTGTTTTAATTTATCATATTACATCTTTTGGAAAATCAAAATATCATGTTGTCAATTATGACTCTTTGAATAGCACAATACATTGTAGTTCTAGAAATTTTGAATTTTGTGGAATACTGTGTTCTCATGCTTTGATAGTTTTTACTGTACATAATATTATTAAGATTCTAGATTCATATATATTAAGACGATGGACTAGAAAAGCTAAAGTTGACGATTTTTATAATGTATTGACATTTTAGAATGATTCAAAAGTGTTGCTAAAAATCTGGTATAAGGATTTATGTAATATTTCTAATCAACTTCTGTTACAAGAGCATCTGAAACAAGAGAAACATACGAAATAGTAAGAGATGAATTCAAGGAAATGTTTGAAATAGTTAATGAAAAGTTGCAAAATATGAATATTTTTTCCGATAACTCTAGCTTACAGAAATTGAAGGAAAATGAAAAGAATTCATCTACAGCTGAGGAAACCAGAGTAAAGATTACTGGAATAAAAGTTAAAACAAAAGTTGTTTCAGGAAAAAGATTTAAAAGTGGACTAGAAAAAGCTTCCGAAAAGAAGAGAAAGCCATCCATCCAAAACTCAAATGCAACAAAAGATATATTAATTTCTGATATTTCGATCCCTTCACACGTATAAATTTTATATTTTTGTGATATTTAATTTTTAATTTTATTATTGAATTAAATATTTTTTTTTCAGTCCGCAAACGAAATGGTTTATTGAAAACAAAGATCTAAAATGTTTCCTCAAAATCATCAACCACAGCAGGTTAGTTTACATTGTATTTGGATAAACATATTTGTAATACTTTAATTTTTATTATATTATAAATTTTATATTGCAGTATCAAAACTATATGCAAAATCAAATAAATCAAATTCTGCCATTTGATTTTTCCAACGGACTACAATATCCGATTAAATATATATCATGGTAGTAGATTTTATTATATTAATTTTTACTTTTTTTTATATAAATATTCAGGTTCAAATAGTATTTAAATGAATATTGGATCTATTTGACAAATACATAACCTGTGACAAGTCTGGGGCCATCTTGAAGTCAATGCATTCGCCATTGCATGATCTTGATCCGTAAGAATAGTGGTAGGCTTTTTTCCATCCATGGTACTTGCATACGTATCAAAAAGCCATTCAAATGAAGGAAGGGTTTCATCATATAAAAGTGAAGCACCAAAAATTATTGTTTGTCTATGGTGATTGACACCAACAAATAATGCAAAAGGTCGACTTTCTCTATTCTTTCTGTATGTTGTGTCGAAACTCACAACATCTCCGAAATCAACATAATCTGCTTTCATTCTACTGTCTGCCCAAAATATATTAGTTATCATGTCATCCTTGTCCAATTGAATGGAATTTGAAGAATTCGGATCTTTACTTTGCATTCCTTGCAAATACTCAAGCACTCCACCGGTATCTCTAACTTTTATATCTTTTGTTCTTTTCGTACGCAAGTAATTCTTATGATCTTGTCTCGTAAATCCTAAATTGTCACGGCCGCCAACTTCTTTAACCATGAGATCATGTGAGGCTTTTGGGGTGAGTCCCACACATTCTGCCATCTCAATTTGAGCCGCATGAGCATCAGTAATCTTTCTATGTGACCGAAACATATGGCTTTTCTGAGGACTTGTAAAATGATGTGTATGTTCTGAAATGAACTCAACAACTTTATATTTTGAATTCTCTTTCAAACAAATTTTTATTCTAGCCATGCAACTAAATCTTGTTATTGGCCGTAGAGCTTTCACATTTTCTCTTCTTTTATCCTCTTTCCGCTACAAGCAAATATTATGGATGTTATATTATATTTTTTTATCTTTATGCATCTTGTGCCTTTTGATTCCAAAACCTATTTCTTTAGCATAAGTTAAGTAATACTGATAGACTTTTTCCTCTTTATCAAATACCATTCCAATTTTAGGATTTTTCATTGTCGATGTTCTATCTACATCAACACATTCAAACTTATTTTTTGTATTTACGAAATCTAATCCATGAGATGACGAACATATAGTCATGCCAAATTCATCAATTTCCATACCTGTAAAGTGAATCACGATTTATTTATTCAATCACAGACAAAATCTCATGTTGTGAACCAGCAATTTAAAAAAAAAAAAAAACCACAAAAACTACAACCAAATTTTCATTGATTTACAAACAAGAAAATCTACACAAATCAGCCCACAACAACTGCTCTCAAATTTAAGTCGATTTATCTAAAATAAGCATAATGTTGAAACTCCAAGTCCAATTTGCATAAATAATTTTGAAATAGATACTTCAAATATTGAGATTAGCCCAAAAATAACAACTTATACCTAGAAAATGGGACAATGCCAACGAGGACTCAACTCGGAGGGAAGTGTGAAGAAATGAAATGCGGCCGATCACGAGGGCAGTTGCTCGGTGAGAAGGGGTTGTTTGGCGATTTTGGCGGGCAACTGTTCAGCTAGAAGAAGCGCTATTTGACAACTTCTGCGTGGGCGGGGAAATCCGACGAAGGCTGGAGATGGAAGAAATGAGAAGGATTGAAAGGAATAGAGGGAAGGACGGCGGGAATCGTTAAAATTTTGAAAAAAAAAAAAAGAAAAAAATTTTAGATCCAAAATGAAGGAGCAATATGCAATTTAATACTAAAACTTTTTATTTAATTTACTTATTTTAATAAAATAATAAAATAAAATAAATAGAACACATATCGCCTCCTTATTGGAGAGACATGGAGGACAGCAACACCACTGGACAGCAGAGCCGATGCCGAAAGATAAATAGACACTTATAAAATGGTTATTTTTTTTAAGGGTATAATAGTCATTTAAATTAATGGATTGAGTAAAAGTTGATTTTAATGAATTAATTAAATAGAAAGTATTGTTATAGATGACTCTATAGGATTGGATGGAACGATTTGAACCCTCTCTAAATAGACTTCTCCATTTCGAACCGCCGGTTCGCCGGTTTAAACCGGCTGTTCTGATTTGACGTCGAACCGAAACCGTTACACCATATCCAGAAAATATTTATCGCATAATTGCAGCAGATCTTTGTTGATCTATGGCTATGGCTATGGCTATGGAGCCCATTTCCATCTGCCCCTGCTATCCCAAACCTCTCCCAATTCACCTTTGCTCCCACTCCATCAACGCCGGATTCCTCCGCCGATTCACATCTGCACCAGCTTCGGCATTAACATTAAGAAGATTATTGAAATTGAAATCCCCCACGGCTTTTCCGTCGAGAGTAAGTTGCTGCAGCTACGGCACTGGGAACTGCAATGGCATTGGCGATGACCTCTCCACCACTTCCTGGGCGTATGATGTGCTGGGACTCGACTCCGATTGCACATCTGACCAGCTCAAACACGCTTTTCGAAGCAAAGTAATCCAACGCCCCACCACGCTCTCGGAAAATTCATCTCTTAGGTTTGTTTACTAAATCCAATTTATACGTACGTTTTTGGATTCTCCATTCTGCAGGTGAAGCAGTTCCATCCCGACGTAGTAAGCGATGGGGAACAGAACTCGGACGTGATGATTCGGCGAGTAATTCGAGCCTATGAGGTAGGTAATTGTTTAGAACTTTTCATCGTTTTGAATCAGTTGCTGAACATTAATGTGTGTTTCTACTTCTTCCTGCGAATTGATGCTTTTCCATCATCAGCTAAACTAAAGCACTGGAAAGATATGCATAATTTTATTTGGAGATTGGCTAACTTGCACTGACCACTGATCTGCTGCATCAAACAGATATTGTCCAACTGCAGCAGGTCAGAAATAATCGAGAGGTAAACACAGTAATGCCAATCTTGCGTTTTCTTCTTTGTGGTGTCTAATCTTTGCTATTGAACAATAAAACCTCTTGATTGTAGGCTTGTAGGAATATTTTAAGAGGTGTATGCCTTCTGTGGTTATATCAGGCTTAATCAAACAAAGTGAATTAATATGCATGAGTTATAGAGGAAAACAACAGAGTAATGGATTGAATATTTGATCTGTATTGAAGGTAGAGCCACATGGCTGTGTTTTACAGATCTAAAGAATACATCTATATAAAATTGCCAATGGAATCAATCCTATATATATACTTGAGGCACATTTTGACATTCTTGTTTTTTTTTACTCCCCTCAAAATGTGTGTGAATATATTTATGCACATTTTGCTCAGCGAATGATAGAATTGACTACATCAGATTCCTTAGTCGAGATATCTACTATCTGTTCCTTTGGGGAATATACTAAACTTTAATCTACTTGTGTTGTACCCTCTCCCAGATGAAGTGTAGGTCTAAGTGCTTCTCATGATGTGCTGGAATTTTACTAATTTGTATAGCACTCCTATTATCACAGAATATACTAGGCTTCTTCCATAGAGTTAGCGCAAGCTCCGTGATTAAAGATTTCACCCGTATGACTTCACAAAACACATGATGCCATAGCTTGAAATTATGCTTCTGTAGAGCTTCTAGACCCAATTTCTTGTTTCTTGGACTTCCAACTAATGAAGGAATCCCTATAAAGAAACAAAATCCTGTGACCGAACGTCTTCCATCCAAGAAAGACCCCCAATCACTGTCTACAAAGGCACACTGTCATCGTTTAATCTTTTGAGGAGAACAGACCCTTTCCTGGCTCATTTTTCAGATATGTATATCCCTATTCTTCAATTGAAGCTTTAGATCTCGGATGGTTCTCTCTACTTCATGCTGTATGTGTCCTCCAATGATGATATCATCAACATAGACCAACAGCATCAGAATGCCCACTGACTGTTTGTAGGATAAATAAGGAGACATCTGCCCCCAACAGCAGAAAACCCATGGATATGAGTGTCGAAGTGAACTTGGTGTTCCATTGCCTAGATGATTGCTTGAGTCCATAGAGGGATTTTGTCAATCTGCACACCGCTCCTGGCCGTACTTTGTGACCTGTCAAAGATTCATATCCACTAGGCAGCTCCATGAAAACTTCTTCCTTTAGATCCCTATTAAAGAAAGCGCTGTGCACGACCAATTATTGCATCAGCATCCTTATAAAACTGCCAATGCAAAGGTGAGTCTCATTGTAGTGTGTTTGATTCCTGGACTAAAAGTTTAATGATAATTAAAGCCTTCTTTTGGTTGTATCCCTTGGCCGCCAATTCGGCTTTGTATCTTTCCAAGCCTTCATCTGCCTTGAGCTTCACTTTGTATACACACTTACATTGAATGGCTTTCCTTTCTTTGGGTGATGGAACAATTTCCCTTGTGTGATTCGTTGCTAGAACTGTCAACTTCTCTCTCATAGTCTCTGCCCAATGAGTTTGTAGCCCAACTTCTTCGTAGGTGGCAAGTTCTTGGAAAGTGGCAGGAATGGACACATAGGTTTGATAAGATTCAGTAAAGAAGTGTGTAGAGGTTGGTGGGCTAAAGGGTATTTTGTGGAGGACGGGTGGGCATGGCTGATATAATAGTCGGAGAATTTCTGGGTGGTTTAGACAATCTAGTGGATCTTCTAAGAGGGGTAAGCATACCACTGGTTTCATACAAGAATTTGAGACAATTTTGGATGTAGGACCTTCAGTTATACGTGGGGACAATGATATGCGCTACTCGGTAGAATGAGGTAGTTCAGCAGGAGTGGGAGTGGAAATCAATTCAGATTGAGAGAACTCTGGATGGGATGTATCAACATTGTTTGACCATGGCCAGTGAGGCATATGGGCTATAGGGAGCTTTTTTATATTTAAAAAGGTTCATATGGGCATATGGGCAAAGGTCTTGGACCGTAGGGAAAAAATGTTCATAAAACACCACATCTTGTGAGATGAACTTTATGTAAGTGTTATTAGCGTGCGTTCTGTTCTGGGTAAATCTCCAGCCAAACCTAATAGCAGCAAACTAACTCAGATAAGATAAGTCACACTAGGCGAACCATGTGTCTAAATCAAAGTGCTTATATTCCTTCACTCCTAGATGATATCCAATTAATAAAAATACACCACCTAGATCTACTATGAAACTTCCTTCAGTCCCTAACAAGACTTGTGGAAGGGATATACGAGACACCCAAACACTCTTAAGGTGCCATAGGTTGCTAGTTTATGATGAAGAAGTTCGAGAGGTGTTTTGAAGTTTAACAATCTTGAGGGTAGGATATTGATGAGATATCTGGCTGCTAATATTGCTTTCCCCAAACAAGAAATATGTAAGTTGGCTTCGAGCAGCAGTGCACTTACAACAGAGAAGATCCGGACAAAGGCATGAAAGGATTTGATCAAACTTTGCACCTATTGTTTTTTTTGTTTTTTTTCATTCAAAATATCCATATGGTTCTAGTACAATCATCAACTAGCTTAAGGAAACACCTATGCCCTTCACGTGTAGTCGTAGAAAATGCTTCCCTGATATCTACATGTATGAGCTGAAAAAGAAGAGTAGAGGATACTAGGTGTGAGAGTAACTTGAGTCTTTTTTGTTTGGCTCGGTAGCTAGTGACACACTTCAAGGGGAATGGAGTAGCCATTAATGAAACCTAGCCTGTTTCTGATGAAACTAATATATATATATATATATATGAAAATCTTCAAAATAAATCAAATTATCTCTCACTTCTCTATGAGATTTATTTATTATTTATATTGTATAAGTGTACAAAGTGTGTATTAATACTAAAAATTGATATAGAATCAATCGATGCTTAGGTTTTTTGTTATGGTGTTTTATAGTTATCTCTTAATATGAGTTTGAATTTGGAAGCAATTTTTGGATTAAAAGGGTAAGGAAGGCTCAAATATGCAATAGGAAATGCATGTAATTCTGTCATCTGATCATTTCATTCTCTAATCACCCTTTTAGTACCGTCTGTTTTGGGATATTGTCTTTTACATCACGTTTTTTTCACGCATTCTTTTTTAATTTGTAGTGAATGCATGGATCCATTTGATAAACCAGAATGCGAGGCATTCGATGTCTTTGTCAACGAGTTTATGTGCATCGGAAAAGGTACTTACTAGCTCCTCCGTCGGTTTTTCTGTTGTCTGACCCTGATGATGGAAAAAAAACCTCGCATTCTAGCTGCAACGTAACTGTGAATAATAAGCCAATCAAGAGGATTTGTCGACAATATTAGCGAGGCGTGGTCGAAGAAGTTCTTACATTCCAGACAGTCTTTCTCCATTGCCTCTTAAAGACATGGTGAGTATTAATGTACTGATTTCGATATCTGCAGGCTGTCTGTATTCATGTGTAAACAGAGCATCTCATGCATTTCAATTTTCTTCGACAACTGGGACAGCGCGTGCAGTCTCTCAAGGTCCTAAACCACTACAAACCCCTGCAACTGCAACACACACAGTTCAAATCTTAGAGCTTTCCATGAATCTTGTGGTTCTGAATTCATTCCTGCTGCAGGACACGGTGAAGACTACCAAGTTCAGCTTGCAGTTGGCCAGTGTCCGAGAAGCTGTATTCATTACGTTACGCCATCACAAAGAATCGTTCTAGAGGAGCTTCTCTTTAGGTACAGCAACTCATTTCTTCGGCAAACTTGTGGTTTTTATTTCTTCGTTTGTTGTTAACTGTATGTTCCTTCAGCATCATAGGCATGCCGTATGATACTTCGGCTGACGCCGAGCTGCTTTATTCCCTCATTGTTAAAGCTACCTATGAGAACAATCGATTTGACATTCCAAAGAAGAAAGCCAATGTCTCAAGCAAGCACGTCGATTGGTTCTAAGGAGACTGCGGTTTGATCTATACACCCGTCCTCCTTATTCCATCGCATTGTACAGTAAAATGTGTTACATATTGTTTGTATGTATAATAGATACAAATAATATGTAAAAATCCGCAGCCGTTAATCTTAGTGTGTGGTAAACTATAGCCAAATCTAATAGCATATAAATTAGGCCAGCAAGACTAACAACATGTAAATTACGCCAGCAAGACAAGTGCATATGCCTTGCGGAGCTCTATACCCCATATGTTGTCGGGGCCCCAAATCGACCCAGGCCCAAGGTGGGGTGATGTATATACCCCCGAGTCAACCAAATTGAGTCAAAAGTATACATTAACCGAACCGTATAGTTGTTTAGAGGTGACACAGACAATGGACACGACGGATGGATGGGTCGTGAATTCTTGAATGGTTGAATTGAATAAAGAATTTGCTGTGTGTTTATTCTATAGCTAATTCCATACCGCACCATACCATAACATAATATCTGTAATGTGACCATAACTCAAAAGGCAGCAAATTTAGTAACATAACATAATATATAGAACACCATCTTTAATACAATCATAAATTAACTTAAGAGCTTCGGAGCGGAAGCATAGGATAATGTTGAAGCCTCAGCCTCAGCCTCAGCCTCAGTTAGCGATGTTTTTAAGGCTATTTAGAGCCTTCTGCACGAGCAAAATACAAACATGGTCAACTAAAAATCTCAAACTTGATTCAAGTAGGAAGAAGATGACTGAAAAAAGGTATTACCTGAATGCAAGAAAGCGTGTACTGCACGTCGCTCTCCGAGATCTGATGGTGAATGACAAACCTAATCCTAACATTTCAAACACGAAAAAAAGCGTTCTATCAGGCATACATACATTCACAGGAGTCTAAGATATATTCGAAGAGGAAACATACTTGCGTGGACCTTCTGCCATGGCATGTATGCCATGCTCTTCCAGATTTTTTAATAGTTCAACTTCTGTGATGCACACATCCTTCAGAATATCAAAATACACCTGAGAAAATACACAATATCAAAAATCAAAGAACCAAGCCTAATCAGCAAACAATTTGGCGTGATCACAGCACTCGGAATTTCCACCTTCAAGGATACACAATAGGTTGAAGTTCTGATTTAGAATTTCATTTCTATATGAACATTGTTTCAATCCAAATTTGAATTCAGATGTTTTAGCAATATAAGTGAGTTTCTTTTCTGTTTCTACACAGTACTTTACTATTTAGACTCCATCTCCCTTGAAAATTTCATATATTTTTATCTCTCATGAAATATAAAGGCCGAAAAGAAACATACAAGGCCCTGCATAAAACAAAGCTTGATGGATAAAATGAGAATCAAAAGCCTTAAAAAAGCAGAGAGCTGATGTGAAAGAATATCCAGGAATGATGGCACTTACAATATTAGTCTCGACGGTAGTTGGGTCGACCTTTAATCCTTTGATATTGTTCAACCCTTCTGAGAAAGGGAGAGAAAACTGTTATGCAATTGAGATGCAGATTTTGGTAGACTTCACTGAGAATTATGATGCAACAAGTTACCTGCCAAAATCTTAGCCTTCCTGTGATCACTTTCAAGCTTGCCGACGTTTTCTTCTACTGCAACCATTGCAGCAGCACATAGAACACCCACCTGTCTCATACCACCACCTAGTGTCTTCCGGAGGATTCTCGCCTTTCATAGTAGAGATAAATACAAAGAATGAGCTGCCAAATTACGACAAAGGAGGGAAAAAAATCCAAAGAAAAGATCACTTGAAACATTTTACATTTTACCTTAGCAATGAAGGTCTTTGAACCTGCAATAATTGTTCCAGCTGGAGCACCAAGACCTTTCGATAGGCAAGCCTAGATCGCATATATTTAAATCAAAACAGCATAATAATCAAGCATCAGGATGAACAGATAAATGGTCTGTAACTGTGGTAAGATATATTGACAGTGGTGTTGAACTTACAGTTACTGAATCTGCAGCCTTTACAAGCCTATGTACAGGGACTCCGAGTGCCTGGAAAATATTGTATCAGATTTTCAGTGAATGCATTCAGAACGACGTAAACTAAAGCAGTAATTTGAAGCCCCTGACACCCATATGCAATAGCAACATGCTTACTCGATGCTTCTCTATTCTAACAGTAGACTAAAAGATTGCACTGCCAATTGAGTGCATAGCACTGCATCATTTGGATAAATTTGATTACCTCACTAGAACTCAAAACAAATATTTCATGCTCACAAATTCAAAACATTTGGACAACGTAGTTCAGATCATGCTTCTTCAAAATCATCCAACATCCATATATTGTTTTCATTCATTGCTAACTTCTATGTTACAATATTTGCATATGGATGAATAAGCTAGAATGGAAACTGAAGAAAGACCCAATCGACATTGTTGTAAAGCTCACCACTGACGCATTAAAAATACGAGCCCCGTCAATGTGAAGCTTTAACCCATGCTTCTTTGCAAGCTCTCCAACTTGGTCTGTATATTCAGCCGACAGACATCTTCCTCCAGAACTGAATCAATTAAGGCTCTTTCAGAAAGGAGTTAACTCATAAGACTATGAAATTTCTCAACATTAAACTAGAAGGAAAACATTTGTAAATAGACTTACTGTGCATGTGAATTTTCCAAGCAAATTAGCCGGGTAGTTGGAAAACATATGTCAAAATTGGGGTCCCGAATAGCTTCTTCAATTAAGTCGATGTCCATTGTTCCATCATCATTATTCTTCACTGTCCTTGGATGAACACCGCCTATGGTAGAAATCCCTCCGTTTTCATATATATGTATGTGTGAATAGTCTCCCAGAATGACTTCACTTCCCCTGATCTGACAGTGAGTTAATACGCAGATAAGATTGGCCATTGTTCCTGAAGGGACAAACAATGCTGCCTCCTTCCCCATTATCCTCGCCATCTCGCTCTCGAGGTGAGCAGCAGATGGATCATAGCCCAATACATCATCATCAACTTCAGCATGCGCCATTGCAGCCCGCATGGCTTCAGTCGGTTTAGTGACAGTGTCTGATCGAAGGTCCACTCTTCTCGTCACCATTCTCACTGAATAACAAAATTGTTCATCACAAAGGGATGCAAGCAAAAGCATGTATGCTTATAATTTAAACAATAAGGATACACAATCAACTAATTCCCGATCAAATTCGATTTCTTCTGCAGAAAATTTTGATTTTTCTATACAATAGTTCGGTGTTCTCAGTTTAGTTCATACTTGTCGCCATGACAGCACAGCATAATTAAAAAAATTCACAGTAAACTCGCGAAGAAGTTATAGATGTTCGCATAAAGATTCACAACAGCGATGAATGAAAAACAGAATTTCTACCTTATTCAATGGATCAAATCTCTTCCGCAATTACAATTCAAGAACATAGCAAGAAATTAAACCTATTTTCCTTTTTCATTATTGCTATTGTTTAAAATCCCAAAATATCAGTAACGGATGAAGACGCGGAAGCAAACCTTTGTGTTCCTGCAAACAATATCTCAAGTAATCGGAATATTGTCTCGAAGATCACAGCTCACCTCCTAAACTCAAATGCCTGAAAAATCATGGACACTAAATGAGCTTTCCCCACCGCACGGTCACAAAAAAGACAAAAGGATAAAACAACCACACAGGTACAGATACAGAGGATTCACAGTGCACCCTATTCTATTCTATGAAGTGGAGAGTTCCACTTTATACGTGTTTTCACGACATTCACAAAAATCGAGACTGAAGCAGAACGAACCACAGAGTAATTGCCGCCTGTCCAACAACTTTCTAGCACAAAACTACAAAACAGCACCGAATGGTTTCCGCCTAGAGAATGAAATTAATTACTTGAGAATCAAAATTGTTGTCATGCATGGGAATAGAAACAATTGCATACCTGGAAGGCTAAAAGAAGAAGGTGATTCCGGCTGGTCTGGAATGTAGCGGAGGAGGTGGAAGGTATTTATAGCAGATTAGATTAGAGGAGAGAGAGTGAAAGCAAAATTGGTGAAAAGTGGGGCGGAGGGAGGGGAGGAAGACGACACGCAACGGCGGGCGAGTGACGTGGAGAAGATTGAGATCGAGAAGACAAGAGACGCTCGCAATCGCATACGACACTAGAAATAATACTCTTTATAGTACTATTACTTTTATTCCTCCAGTTTAGGGCTGTTTGTTTGAGAGTTTGGATTTTGACTTATAATTTGAAAAGAAAAAATTTTGAATTTGATATAATTTTTTATAATTTTAGAATTTTATTTTATTTTTTTTAATATTAAATTTAAATAATTAATTAAAAGTTATTAGAATAACTAATAATTCAATAAAATTAAAATTTGTTAAATAATAAATAACAAAAATATGAATAGAATTAGTTATATACATATTTCACTTTTAATTTTATAAATGGTTTGATTTTAAATTTTTTTGTTTTGGTTTTATTTTTAAAAATATATACTCCCTCTTTTTCAGAAGAAATGTGAGTTAGGCTCGGGAATCAATAAATAATAATATTTAATTTAAAGTGAGTATAAATTAGAATGTAAAAGATTAAAATATCTTTATATTAGAGTAATAATTAAGAATAATTTAGAAAAATAAGAATAATTTTGTTCTTTCATGGTCGGACTAATCTTTAATTTTTTCTCTTTATTTTAAAAGAATTTTCATATTAAATTTATCATATTTATTTGTAATATTTTATTTGCAAATATAATTTATTATCGTTATCCATATTATTGAAAAATTATTGTATTTTTTTATTAATATATATAGTGATATTTTTACAATAATATTTTTTTTGTTTAATTTTTAAAATTTTAAACTAAATTAACATTGTATTACATTGATTATATTATTTTTATTGTTAGGTATTATTTTAGTTTTTATTAATCAATTCTAATGTTCAAACCATGAAAAAAAAAATAATAATAATAAAAAAAAATTATTTTTAGTATTTTTAGTTTCTTTTAATCAATTCTAATCAATTATAAAAGAAAAAGAATAAAGTTTAAAATTTAAATAAAAAATATTTGTTTATGAAGATTCCTCGTACTACGTCCGATAAAATGTTGCTTTGCTGTACAAGAATTTAAAAAATTATAATTAATACGGAATCAAAAATTAATATAATAAAAATAATTATAAATTAAAATTAAAATTATAAAATATATAATTATATTTTTAAAAATAATAAATTATGTGAAACAAATTGATATATCATATTAAAATACTCCCTCAGTCCAACTTGAAAGTATACATGTTTCTATTTTGGGACGTCCAATTACAAAGTAAACATTTCATTAAATACCTTACTTTTTTCCACAAATACTCATACTTTACATCACATCATTACTTTTACACCAAAAAGCAAAGGCAAAAATATCATTACACTATATTTAACTACCCACTATAATTAAAATACTATTATTTCTTAAACACCACATCAAAAGTAATTGTATATTTTTTTTTGTGGACGGAGGGAGTCTATAAATAAATTTATTTTCAATGACTTTAAGAATAAAAAATTATACCCCAGCCTGCCAAAGTTCACTATACTGTACCTATGCCTACTCATCAATCACAATCCATCTATCTATCCATCTGTCTATCTAATTTTTTAATTATATATTAAATTTATTTTAAAAGGATAGTTTGTTCCGTTTGTAAATTTTGGGTTGTATTTGACGGCGGCTTGCAATTGAAATTTAAAAGTTTAGATTAAAAAAATATTTAATTTATACTTTAATACTTCCCTTTCTTTCTTGTCTATATTTGTTTTTTTAACATAATTTTAAAAATATTACTCTCTCCATTCATTTATAAGAGCTACGTTTACTTTTGGCGCAGTGTTTAAAAAATAATAATATTTTAATTATAGTGAGTAGTTAAAAGTAGTATAATGATATTTTTGTCCTTACTTTTTTGTGTAAAAGTAATAATGTAATGTAAAGTAAGGGTATTTGTGAAAAAAAGTAGAATATTTAATGAAATGTAAACTTTGTAATTAGACGTCTCAAAATAGAAACATATAAACTTTGTAAGAGGACGGAATAAATAATATTACATTAAAGGTGTGGTATGAATGAAATATAAAAAATTAAAATAACTTAATTAATATTGTGTGATATAAAAGTAATAATATTTATATAATATATTATAAATTGTAAAAGTATTTTTAATATTAGTAAAAAATATAATTACTAAAAAAATAATATTTGATATGAAACAGACTAAAATAAAAAAAAAAAAGATATATTATTAAAGAAAAGATGAAGTACATAATTAAAATTTTTAAATAGATATTTTGCGTTTTAAAAATATTAATTATAAAAATAAAATTAATATAAATAAATATATATTTATATATAAATGATAAATTCATTTTATAAAAAGAATGTGATTTTTGGATCATATAATTATACGAGCATATAACGCGTGCTATGCACGAATTATTATATAATATAATATTTAATTTAATTTTTAAAGTATAAATAATAAGTTTTCTTTTAATACTAAAATATTAATATACTGAAAAGCTTAAGCTATAGAAAAATATAATATAACATATTAGAGAAATTCGAATTTAATTTTTACATAATATATTTTATTTCAAAATATATATATATATATAAACGTTAATATTGTTAGAACTTCATGTATAATTGGTATAATTGTATTTTAATTGATATTTTAAAATTTTATGATAAATCTATTACTAGAGTTTTTTTTTTTTTTAAATATACTTCAAAAAATACATTAATTTGCATTAATAGTAATATAGTTATTAAATTAAAATTTTAAATTACTTTCAACTAACACAAATATAATTTATTAAATTATTTATCAATTAATATTAATATTGAATTTATATGTAGTATGATATGCAAACATTTTCTTAAAATATATATACTTTATACTTACAATATATAAAAAGTAGTGTTCAAATAAAATAATAAAACATTAAAAAAATAAAAAGAATATTATTTAATCATAACAAATACGTAAAGCATAATAAATATAAAATTAAATAATGACATAAAAATAAAAATATATGTCAATTTGACTATAGCCGAACAAATAATCTAAAAAAATTAAATTTATGCATGTTAATAATAAAAAAAAACAAAAATTAAAGTATATATAAATTGCGAACATAAAAAATATTATAAAATATTGATAATATCATATGAAATTAGTAGACAAAAAAAAAGAGAAAAGAAAATCCAAAAGAAATGATGCTATTTGAAATCTTCCCATATTTTTATTATAAATACATGAATTTTGTATCTCTATTGAATTAAATTACTTGTGTTTTTTTATTATTTTTTTCCTCGTATATTAGTACTTAGTGGAGAAAAATATTTAAAATAAATAGAAGCAATAAACTCAATATTCAATAATAGTCAAATATATAAAAAAATTTCTGATAATATTTTATTCTCCCACACATATCAACATTTAATATAAAATATTATTATTTTTTTATTTAACTGACATGATTCTGTGTGTCTCACGATTAAAAAAAATTCAAATAAACACTAAACAAACAAATTTCAAGAATAACGTTCAAATAATATACACATGTTTAATTATTGTTACTATGATCATATGAAAAATATATTAGTGATGATTTCTAAATTTGATTATTTTTCAAAAACAAATTTGAAAGATAAAATAATTGAATAGAAAAAATAGAAAATAAAAAAATTACGTTCTACAAAAATTGATCAAATATGAAGTTTAATACTATAACATCATATTAGAATATATATATATATATGTATATATATATAAAAAATCATCAATAATAATTAAAATATATTCTATACAATAAAAAATAAATTTATAAAATTAAACTGATATTATTATTATAAAATATGTGATATATATAATAAAATATTTAAATATATTAAAAAAAATAGAATCCACTAATCTCTCCAGGTCTCTATTGTTGGAATATATGAGTATTGCAAGAATAAATAAACGTGAAATCGAGTCGAGGATGAATTTTCTTTCTGAAAATTAGATACGCCCCGGTAGTGCCTTCGTTGACTGGCGTTATAATCCATAGATAAAACGGTTTTCGTCTCCAATGAGAGTGACACCTCTAATCGTTGGAGCTCCGGCGAATAAAAACAAGAGAAGAACTGAGTTGGAGAGGTTGCCAGAAAGCTGGAAGATAGGAGAAAAGGAAAAGAAAGTTGTTTGTATTGGTGTTTAGAATGAAGGGGAGAAACCCTTTATATAGGCGTCTCAACTCGGCCAAAATGACATGGGATCAATTACATCATAATTATGACCTTAATTATCAATGTAATTTATTCTAAATTCAAACATTCCGTTTGAAGCAGTCATAATTGATTCTAATTACAAACTTTCCGTTTGTGACAATCGTAATTTATTCTAATTCCAAACCTTCCGTTTGAAACGATTGTAATTCATTCTAATTTCAATCATTCCGTTTGAGATTATAATAAATCTATCAAACGGATAATATTTTATCTAAATAATACTGCCACTTATGCTATATACCCGGATTTAATTTGGGGTTGCACAATTTGGTTTGTCTCGAGACAAACAAAATAGCCAAAATATTAACTAAACCTCATATATAATAAATAAATATTATTTATTTATTTTTTCCAAATTAATCTAATTAATTTGGTACACCGGCCCGTTGCATTTTCACTTACAAAATAATCGATTGCAAAATAACCGATTATCCAACAATCCCCCACGTGAGTGGAAATGCCCATAAAGGACAGAAGTGCAACTCAATCCCTGTGAGACATTGACACATCAGGACATGTAGTTTTTGGCTTTGAACCTTCCATAGTCAACATTACAGAGTGTACTGGTGGCCCAGTTGACGTGATGCATTAAATTGTTTCACCTTAGCGTGCACTTAGTCAATAATATTGATGTATTGCTATCTCAGTCTCAACTTTGTTCTCACGTTTTGATCTATTTCGGCCATGGATCTCGTCTTTGGATTCATAAGTATTTCGTTTGAAGCAGCCCACACTTCACACTTACATAGGTAATCCTACATCAAGGTATCTAACTCACACCTTTAG